CCATATTGCAACTTAATCGATAGAACTTGGTCAGCAATAAAAAACTAAATAAATACGACGTTTTTCACTACTCAGTGATCTATGAGTGGTGTATTTTATAATAATTTCTGAAATGTTAGTAAAAAGTCAACAATAATACATCAAAGTAGAACATAATCACGATAGAAACAACGAGAGTAAAAGTTGCAATATTGAAACGACACTTGGTGATATTTCAAATCACAACTGGTAAGTACAGCCTTACTATTTTAGTGAACTGAACTTCTATGCAAACACACAAACACACATAGATTGTAAATATATATAAGAAACATTTATCTTGTTACCTAATATTGTACTTTAATTATTTTTAAAACTAAATTTATCATTTTCTACTGACATAATAACCTTTTTGTATGGATACCTTGATATTGCCAAACTATCACTAATAATAGGGTTAACACCGTATATTTCATCGATTAACAAACGTACATTTACTACAAACTATGATACGAAATATTGGGAAACCTTTGTAAAGGTTCCAATTTCTTAACTAACACTGGTAGTTTTCACATGATCAAAATAGTATATTTCCACAGACTTTATCAATATCCTGTTGTATTCTATCATTGTAAGGTATGTTAAATAGATTTTATTTGAATGACATAAATAAACTCATACCATGTATTTGTACTTAATTGTGCCTGATCTTACGTGGTAGCTAACTGATTGATTGACTTCATTGTGATTATAAATATTAAAATGAATAGCTCAATGCTAAATCATTTATATCGTTTTTATTTTCTTAAATTAGATGTACTGGTACACAACTTTATGGGTTAAGTAATGACACTTGTTTCCATATCATAATTTATTATCTTATAGTTATGTTCAATGTATATGTAATACTATTAATTTTGTTTAAAACATATTTGTAATGACTTTCTATGTGATTTTGTATAGTTTAACAACAGAATCCAGTCAAAAGATACGTTTTTAGTTTTAGATAGGTTTCTCTTCATTGTCAAACTAACCATAGCAACAGTGTTTCAAAGAATAACGCTTTTACAATTAATGTAGTTATTCATGAGGACTATCAACATATGGTTACAACAATATAAACTGTGCAACATTTAGTAGCAAAGTTTCACCATGATCATTGCGTTACTATCCTAATAATATTGTTTGTTGTGCTTATATTTTTCAACATCAACTGACATCATTGTAAAAAGGTCCCAAATATTTTAACGTAGCTTGATGCCAGTTTAAGATCGCTTAGTAGTAAGTATCTATAACATATGATAGAATCAAACAATGGATATATCTAAAGCATTCAATAATTATATATTGAATATTCACTATTTTCTAAATAGTGATTATCTCCCTAATCCTAGTTATGATTTCATACACAAAACTCTGAATAAACCATTTTGATCCGATACATTGATGAACGTACGACTGTGGTTTAGATGGATAATTTGTGAAAATTTACTCAGTTTACGAATAGGGTTCACAACAGTCGTTTAAAATGCACGGTAATCATAACAATTAGAGCCTTACTCAATACAAAATAGTATGTTCAGTATATTGGACAACTTCTTATAAAACTGATATGAAAAATACCATAGGTGGATATTTATATATATATATATATATATATATATATATATATATCAACTTCATTTTATAAAATTAGTATACTGAAGTCGGATAGTATCCTAGACGTCTTATTTGGTACTTGTCTACGCGATATACCTGCATTCTAGTGTTAATCTTCACATAGTTATTCAAAGGCAATATTTTTCAATCAAAATACCTGCTCATTATTCATTGTGCTATTAAATTCAGATAACCATTGACTAGTATCATTGAAATGAATTTAATTTGCAACAAGTAATATTTATTTTAATAGTTAAGATCATGAGTTAATTGAAGCTAGACTTCTATGGAAAACCTGAAAGCACTGAATCACTGGCTTAGTGGTCTAATGGTTAAGCGCTCGCCCACAACACTAATTGGTTTTGGGTTTGAATCTCGCGAAGCAGGATCGTAGATGTGCACTATCACTGAGGAGTTCCACAATAGGACGAAGCGACTATCCAGTGCTTCCAAAGTTTCCATGGTAGTCTAACTGCAATTGACTCCTGATTTCAACCATTAAATTTACTATAATATCCACAAAAAAACCCTTGTGATATGAATTAATATTTACTCATCTTTTCTATTAATGCCTGTTAATTAATCAATCTTTGATAATATGTATCCATTTAATTAGTATCCTATTTCAATATATTACCAACTAGTTACAATTGTATAATAAATCTAAGTTATATATATATATGTTTCAAATAAAACAATACAAAATAAATATTAAAATATCATTATAATGTCTATATTATAATTTACTTCATTTCATAAATGAAATTCATTTATCATTTGAAAGTGGAACAATTAAATTCCAATAAATATAATTGAATAAATAATTTTTGTTTAAATAAATAGACAAATGTTGTTTTAGAATTATTTCCAAGCATTAATACTACTATTACTATTACTAGTACTACCACTATTACCACCACTATTACTACTACTACTACTACCACTACTACTACTACTACTACTACTACTAATGATAATAATGATAATAATAATAGCTCCTTATTCCTCCAATGTTTATTTTACAGTAAATATTTGTAAATTATCAGTAGTATAAATCAACTAATACAAAGTTTGATCATTTATGTTTATTGATAAAAAAGATATTTTCACATATTTTTGACAATGTTTTTCTGATCTGAATTTTGTAAAATGGTATGATAATATTATGTTATACAATTTTGTAAATCATTTATTTCTATGCTTATGTTTACCAGCTTATTTATTTATTTAATTTATTTGAACACATAAATATTGGTACAAAGGGGCACCAAATAGATATACACCACATAAATTATTCAACTTGTATGAGGGCTGGGATACTGCCAGTGTGCCCGAACCGGAGCAGGTGGTTTTCTTAGGGTGCCACACTGAAGCCTTTGACCTAAAGGTCTGATCCACAAGGCAGTGGAGCAACGTAAGGAGATGCAGTCTCATGGTAACTGGTGACCAACGATTGGTTCATGCGCCATTTTTTCTTTCGGGATACTGGAGCCCATGTGCACCATTGATTTGGAATCAGGGTTTTCTAACTCCCTAATGTAAATTCTCCGTATCCACGAACCAGGTTAAAGCGCCTGACATTCGCTTTCCGTCCTCCTTATTTCGTAAACAACACCTGTGGTGTGAGAAGGTAATGAGTAGGATTTCGCTGTTAGTGGCTGTATACGCGTGGCCATGTGAGAGCATTTCGAGAGGGAGAGATAATATTTGGAGGCATTGCCAACTAGGCTATTCCATACACCGGGTGATTATAGTTTTATTTAAGTAGGTTGTGCTGAATTTTTCCTTAGTCTAGTTGGTTATCGTTAGCCAGTTTATCAGTTAGTTATCATCGATTTAAATCCTGAGACAGATGTCATACCAAAATTGATATGATGTGATGAAATGAGTTACAATCATAATGAAAACAAGTGAACATTGTGAATGTCTAAGAGAGATTCAGTGAAAGTATATATATAAAAGAATTATTGATTTAAAGATTGAAAAGAAGGTCAAGACCAAATGTATTTGTGCCATTATGGACGATTCTAAGCTATGTCACCTAAATAAAGATTTCACTGTATAATCTATGATGATTATGCATCGTCTCCAGTTGTCCCACTTCCTACCACGTTGCAGTGAGAGAGACGACCAACAAATGAGAATTAAAGAAAGAGAATTTGATCTTAACTTCACTGTAGTTATAACAATCGAAATATAAAATAGACTTCTTCTGAACTATCTTCGTTAGTGGTTTATGGATTTTTTAAAAATGTTTTCATAATAAAAACATCGGTGCTAACCTGTATGAACAGCTGTAGGGCTGATAATTTACACTGTTTAATCCCTTTAGTCGGTGATCACTGTCACGATTGTCATGTCCTCAGCTTTGCTGACAAAGTCGAATTATATTAACCCTAATTGCTTATTGAAGTTTGATTTTGGCGGTTCATTTGAAATTCAGAGCTTGACTAACATGATTTCTATTACTATACACTGATTAAATGTTCTTCTGAGTGATATATATATATATAACTATTAAGAAACCAAAAGATAGCATCAGTTCATGAAGTTGTCTACTCTTGAACGAAGCTACACAGTTGAAATCCTCATGAATCCCGTAGCTAGTGTTCAAAAATGTTAAACATCATGACTCAGATTCATTCATAACAATTTAGATTCATTGAGTTCTTGTCTTCCTCTCCGCCTTGAATTCCATTCTTTTCTCATTTCCGCCATTCTATTCTGTTTTCTCGAGTTATATTAGAATCATTCAGTCATCTTTTTGTCATTCTTACTACATAATTTCAATCTCTCTGTCAATTCATCTTGTTAACTTCATTATATCATGGTAGTTATAGTATGGCAACTTAAACAAATGCGCTTCTATACCAGGCTCAACATAGACAATAACTAGTTAACTGATTTATCGAATATATTTACTTATAACATAGATTGTTTAATCTGTCAAAAAAACATGTGTCTACCTCAGTACAATGGAAGATGGTCGTGCAACATCGTGGATTGGCTGAGGTTAGACATTAACACCATTGAATGCCGGCTGGCTCAGTAGTCCAGTAGGTTAGGCGTTTACGCGCGAGGCTGAAGGCTTTGGGTTCGAATCCCGCTCGCAAGATCGTGGATGCGCACTGCTGTGGAGTTTTACAATAAGACGAAACGGCCGTCCAGTGCTTCCAGGTTTTCAATCGTGGTCTAACATCAATCGGTTCATGGTTTCAATCAAAAGCTTAACAATCTCCACAACCACTAAACTGATAAAAAAGACATTTTTGATTAAGTTTGTTTTTTTTTCTGTCCAAATTTGTTTTCCTTTTACAATAACACTTTTCGCTTATTTCTCTTTTTTATTTTCTATTTCATAGTTAATTGTTAATTTTCGCAAGAAAACTTCATTAGCCTCATCATCAATTGCACCAATAACAGTAACAATACAAAAAGAATTACAAGAATCAAGTTATAATCATCAAAAAATTTACAAAATGATTTTTCTCTTAGTAACATTAATGATTCTTCATTAACTACAATTGGTTTAAATCAAGTCAAATTTAATTATCCTTTTAGTAATGATAAAATTGAAAGGAATCAAATGAATAAACACATTACAACAATACCTATTTGCTCTTCTTCATATAATCAAACTTCAATAAACATATCATCGTCGACTTTATTATCATCATCTTTAGCTTCTTGTTCACCTTCAATGACTGGTAGAATTATATGCGATACCGGCGTAACATACGTTCAGTTACCATATCCACAACGTGAGGAAAAACAACCATTTCCAATACTTTCTTCAATATCATCAATAGAAACATCATTACCATCATATTCACAGCCAACTAAACCTCCACATCGTCATCCTATATTGTCTGCATTATCAGAAAGAATATGTTTAGAAGGAGAATCTTGTGATTGTTTTTTACTAAGAAAAAATGATATGAACAATAAACAAGCAATGTTGACTAAAGATAATGAATTTAGAATCAATCAAACAAATCAAGATCAAAATATCCCGCCTACAGTTCATTGTCCACATAGTGAACATCCTGTTACAACATTAATTGGTAAGTTGATAATTATCTATCTGTAACTAGCATTAAAATCCACAAAGTATATTTCGTTCTATTTACGACTCATCAGCTGAATGTTCGGGGTTCAAGTGTTGACGTTCACTATGGGACACGATCTTAGTAACTTTCACTTCAATTACTTACTGACTTACTCATTTACACCTGTTAACCCTAGTAGTGGGGCATAGGCCATCCACCTCTGTCCTTGGCTCTCCTTGCTAGCTGTTGCCGATTGCTATTCATTCTTTTGATATCTGCTTCCAATTCCTGCTTTCGCGTGATTTCTGATTCGCCTCTTTTCCTTTTACCTTTAGGGTCCAAATCTAGGGCTTGATTCGTGATACAGTTCGAAGATTTCCTTAATGTGTGTCTTATCCACCTCCACCGTCTTTTCCTAATTTCCAATTCATCTGGAAGCTGGTTTATTCTCTGCTCATTAATGATCCATAGTGTAGCGATATAGTCGGTACTTAGCCGATCTTTACAGCCTGGTGATCTCGAGGTCGGGCAACTACTTAATCTTTCATCTGGTTCGACGACACTGCCGAAAATGTTTCTTGTTAGTGATTGTAGTGTGGTGTCTCCGTTTTTCTCACATCTGCTCAGATCTTCTTTCTTCGGTATTTTGGTGAGGCCTCCTTCTTTCCAGTCTGTCGGCAATTTTTCTTCCTCCCAAATGATCCAGTATAGAATTTGGAGTGTCTTTGAAGTATTTTCTGTCTAACTTCAGTGGTCCAGATGGTATGTTGTCTGGTTCAACTGCTTACCACTCTTGATTTCTCTGATGACCATCCTAGTTTCGTTGGTGGAGTGACATCTATAGGAATGTCTATGTGTGCTGCTTTGATGTCCGGTGGGTTCAGTGGGACTGGTCTATTCAAGAGTTGTTGAAGGTGCTCTGCCCACCTGTTCCACTGTTCTTGAATCTCAGTAATTGCCTTACTTTCTTTGTCCTCTACTGGTCTCTGGTTTATTGTGTTTTCCTGTTAGTTTCTTCGTTATATTATATAACGGTCTCATATATCCTTCTCTTACAGCCTTTTCCGATGTTATTTTTAGGTCTCTCACGTATTTCTAATTGTCAGTTCTAATGCTACTCTTCACTTTTATGTTTGCTATTTTGTTAGTTCTTTCCAGTTCTTCATAGTTTACCTACTGACAGATCAATGTAATGAAAATTTCTTTAGAAATTAAATCAGACGTGTAAGATAAATATTTTAGTGACAATTTTATTAAAAACAATACTCATTAAGAGATCAGAATAAATTGTTTTTTATAAATTGTTCAAATTAAGCGATAAATAATAATGATTGTCATTGAAAACAATCACTGATTATTTCTCAACACTTAAACATACATTCATATATTTCAATTTTCGCATCACTTTCGTTAGTATGTATAGATTTATGTGTGTGTGTGGGTAGGTGATTGAGAGGGAGAGAGGTGAAACAGTAGTTCCCGGTTTGTTCAAGTTAAATTTGATAATCGCTATTCTATTATCCTATTCTTTTTTTTTGAAAAAGTCACATATCAACAAACCAATTTGATCACAATTGCCTAATATTATTGTCTTACTCTTCATAATATAACATAGTAGAAATATGTAAAATTATAAATGGTGTAAAATTAAAGCAATCTATTTCATATGCACTGATATTTGATGTTTTAATTTCTAACTCAGAAAAAAAGTATCTGTTATGTCATTGATTGGTTTACATAAGAATATTACAGGAGAGAACTTGTCTCGATCCTAGGTTATGGCCTCGACACGACTGGTTCATCCTTGAAGCTAGAAATATATGAGTTCAAATTAAGACGACAACTATTCTATCACCTGACTGGTTGACAAGCGAGAGATAAAAAGAAGATGAGTCAACTGAAGCATTACTCGATTTATTCCTGATTCCCGATTCAGATTGATGTAAGAAGAGGTATCAATATATCGATTACTAACAATATCACAATGTACAAACAATTAGAAAAATACATTTGTGTTCAAACTGGGTATTAGACTAGACAAATAGAGTACAAAAAGGTTACATTTAAATTACAATAGCTTTTAAACAGAAAAGAGTATGACAATGAATCATGCATCATACAAAAGCTTATGGTTTATAGTATATAAATTAGGGACCAAACTAAATATTGGTATTTTACAAACTTTGAATTCAGTAGAATAATGTTTCTAAAAAGTAACTTTCATTATTTATCATGACTGTTTTACTTCTCTGTTCTCATATCAACTTTATATAACTAACATTTCATTAATCATTATTCTCAACTAGATTGATTAATTACAAGCCTCATTGGTTTGATTAGATTTACAAATAACATTAGTATAACAAAAATTTCAATCAATCATGAAAATTTTTATACGATACAATTACAACTACAACAATTACTACTATTAATAGTAATAGTAGTATATAACATTACAATCTAGTAGTATATTGTATAATTAAATAGAACAATAACTTGTTATGATATATATATATATACGTGTTCTGAATAAGATTGTTTATCATTTCAATATTTTTTTCTGATAATAAATAACAGAAGACAATGGAATTCATTAATGTAAACATTGTAATGATAAATGACAGTAGATATATAAACTCATTGTGTACATTTGAAACTTCAGTCAAATATTACTTTCATATGAGAAAGGTTTTTGTGGATGATAGTATATTAGGTTCAATAGTTGAGATCATGTTAGGTCCTGATAAGCATAATAATAATATGCGTATATTTATATCGTATAATTGTTGGTTCATTAATGGATCCCAAAAGTTACCATTCATTATGCTTATCGGGACTTAACAGATCATGAGTTTATTGATGCTAGACCACCATGGAAAACTTGGAAGCATTAAATATATGAACTAATTTTTCAATCAATTAATCAATAAAATTCATTATTTCACAGATTGAAATCATGAGTCAGTTGAAGCTAGACCACCATTGAAAACCTGGAAGCACTGGACGGCCGTTTCGTCCTAGTATGGGACTCCTCAGCAGTGCGCATCCACGATCCCGCACCACGCGGGGCTCGAACCCAGGACCTACTGGCTTCGCGCGCGAGCACTTAACCATTAGACCACTGAGCCGGCATCCAACGGTGTTAATGTCTAACTTCAACCAATCCACGAAGTTGCGCCACCGTACACCATTGTCTTCAGTGAGTTACTATCTCACAACAGACCTGGTTGAACTCCACTGGTAACGGCTTCTCACTAGAACTTCGGGAGTTTTTCCTGAAGTCAGTCACTAGTGAGCAGTTGATTATTATTATTATTAGAATGGGTTTTGTGGAGATTTTAGAAATTTCACAGATTGAAATCATGAGTCAGTGGATGCGCACTGCTGAGGAGTCCCATACTAGGACGAAACGGCCGTCCAGTGCTTCCAGGTTTTCAATGGTGGTCTAGCTTCAACTGACTCATGATTTCAATCTGTGAAATTTCTAAAATCTCCACAAAACCCATTCTAATAATAATAAAATTCATTATTGTTTTGTTAGTTTTAATGATATCAATTATATTAAAGTTTATGGGTGATAGCTTTTTACATTAAGTTTTGAATGTACGTTTCTAATAGGTTAGTCAACGGATACACATTCGTTTTTGTGCATAAAACTTTGAGATGGTTATGAAATAATTACAAATGTAACTCTTTTGATAGGATAAAATGAATTACATGATAATAGTTTAATTTATTGTAGGAGTTACTCAGTATAGCACATATAGCATTCAACTGTCGTAATTCATTATAAAATTCGTTTTTGTTTACCCGTTATATACAGTTGTGTATGCAATAGGCACCTTCATTAAAGTGTTAAACTAACTTTTTAGAATCATGACAAGTTTCACTACATTGTAACTATATGAGTTGAATCTAGATGATGGGTGTTACATATTTCTGTTGAAGCTGAGAATACGTTTTAAATACATTTATAAAAAATCACAATCAAAGTTTTGATATGGAATAATGCTGGAATTCAGGGTGTATGTATCCAAACCGTTGTACAAACCATTAGATTTTCTGGACTCAGCTTATCACTGGATAATGGACTAGGCATTTGATATACAAAGTACTGGATTTGGGTCTCAATATGAATATGAATATATGTGCATGTACATCCAAATGACGATTCCTAACTAGTACGAAACGATTATCCTAGATTCCACTATACTAGCCACTATTTAAACATTGCTTAATAATTCATGTAATTAAATTGCACTAACGACATAATCCCCTCAGGATTCGAAAACGTCAAGAGAGACTGATTAATTTCAGTCCATAACCTGAATAATGGCAAGATTTAAAATCTTACAAGCAAAACTTTATTGAATTTCTTTTGAAAATGGAAAAGTGATAACCAATTTTTTTATTTAATTGTAAAACATTTACTATTGAAATAAATACGAAGCTGATAAATATATTGATGTTTCATTCTGTGTACAATCAATAAACTCACGGTGCTTTAGTTCCATAGCCTAGATACCTAGTCTTAACAACATTGTTTTGAGGCTTGAAATTCATTAGAAGCTTTAAGATTTAAGTAGATCAGTGTAGAATAGTTAGAGTGATTGCATGTGAATAACACGATAGTATGGCTATAGTTTTCAAAAAAAAATCATAATAATACAACTTTCACTGCTAACGCAAAACTGAATGCCTTTTATTCATTTTACGGTGGAGGTGTTGATATACACCACTAAGGAATAACATGTTAAAATTAGTCTATGATGTTAACTAGTGGGTTGAAGAATGCTAGTCGGTGGCCTATGCTCCATTGGGAGTAACAGGTGTAAGTAAGTAATGATGTTAACTGTGATACATTTCATTGAATGGTTTTTGAAGATTAGTTCATTTTGTAAATAGTTCTCATGTTCTTTATTTATATTAACTAACTTTGATAGAATAGGCCAGTAAGATATCGATAGAATAATTTGTTAAAGTGTGTCTCTCTTTTCTGAGGAATGAAGCATACA